TCCCCAGTTGGCACGTTCTTCCACTAGCGCACCTCCCTGTGAGGTACGCCTAGAAGATTACCTACGCGCCCTCAGATTGTCCCTGACTAGACCCCCCTTGCTCTGGGCACACTTGCCAAGGCTTTGCTGTACCACTGGACAACTGGACCAGTCGTATCCCACATGCTGGACACCAATCAATGTGACAAACCCAGACCTACTGGGATATGCCACAGTTTCACTAAGCTGCCACCAACCATTCCCTATAAGAAGTCACACAGACCAGGGATGGATTTTTAACAAATAAAAGAACAAGGTTTATTAAATAACACACAGGGAAAAATAAAATGCTCAGGTGAATAAGATACAGTAACGTGGCTTAGTCTCAATCATACATACACACAGTTTGGTTCACACAGAACACTTAACTTGAAGCACAGACCCTGAACCTATCAGTTCTGGCTAACCATACAGACACCTGAACCTATCAGGTTGGTACTGACTGACACACAGTAGTACCCTGTCTGACACACAGACTCCCACTCAAGCTTCTTCTCTCAGCTTCTCCAGCTTCTCCTAACTTCTCCACACACGCTCCACATATATATACAGTACAGCCCCTCCTCCTGATGTCCCGCCTTCCACTCCCCATAGGATGGAACTTTCCCTCCAAACCCATGACAGACAGGTAACATCAGTGCTGTATGTAACAACCCCATTGTTCAAATTTCAGAACTAAAAGATCAACCTTAGAATATCCTCTGAAAGCAGATTCTTGTTCATCTGCAAGAGCCAGTCAAAATGATCAGGTAGCAATTGCTGAATCTCTAAGATCCTGGAGAACTGGCATGAGCCAGAAGACAGTACTAAGGGATAAGGACAGCTGAAGGCAATCTGGCAATGATTTGTGACTAGCAAAGACATATTGAGGCTTCCCTAGACAGAGCATGATCTCAGAACTTAGTTTGAAACCACTGATTCAACGTATTTGAAGGTATCTTCCTTCAAAAGTATCAGGCAATGGGGAAGTAAAAGACCTCACAGGAAAAGTACTAAGGTGGTTAAACCTAGAAAATAAGAATAGGCTTTGTGGCTTAAATTTAAGGGAGCAATTTTGAAAGATGATGTTTTTATAAAGTACTGCTGGAGCAACTAAGAACCTTATAGTGCAAAAGATTTTTGGGTGAGAGTTTTAATGTTCTGTATTAGATCATTTATTTAAATAAAAATGATTTTTAAAAAACTAAATCTGAAAGATAAATGTATTTAGTCTGAAATTATTAGAAGCACCAGTCCTTCTTCCTCTCTTTGACCTCAAATTATCTTGAAAACAGCCATAGAGACATAGAAACCCAGGTGCATCTCTTGGGTTTCCTGGCCATCTGCATCCAGTTCCCTTTGGGACCATGACTCACCTCATGAAGTAGCAGCAGAAGATGAGGCTCAGAACAAAGATGAAGATGCCAGTGCCAAAAATCACCATGTAGATATTCAGTGGTAAATCTTGGAAGGTGATGGGGGGCATCGTGCAGGATTTGTTGGTGTAAATCAGCCCCAAACCACAGAAGCATCCTGGAAATAAGGCATGAGAGAGGGAAAGAGATAGAAGTCATGTGAGTGGATAAAGGCAGAAAAGAAGAGGATAATTCTGACATCTGTAAACTCCCACTTAGCAAATTCCCTAATGGATCATGGGAGATTTACGTAGCACCAAAAAGGAACTTTTTAAAGCTCTGCACTATACCAGAGGCTTCCTGATGTCTGCTATAATTGATTGACAATATGTACAATAGTCCTCAGCACTAATAGTTAGATCTTGTAAATAATCAGAATCTCCTAGCCAATGGAGCCATTGCCATTCTGGCTATAACTTGTGCAAGTTCTGCTAACAATCAAATTAAGAACTGAAGGAAGGAGTTATGTGGAATTCCTAACATCTCAACAGGGAACTTTGCAGGTACCCCCCCCCTTTTGCTAAGGACAGTGGAAAAAACAGGACTTGAGAAACAGCTACCAAGTGGCACTAGCAGGAGTCTGCCACATCTCTTGCTTTATTTATTCAAAGTATTTCTATGTCACCTTTCTGTCACCATGACATTAAGGATGCAGAGATAACATCAGAAAAACAAAAAGGTACAGCAACTACACAAGCAGATAAAAACAGATCAACATCTCAAGAAGCTAAATGTCAAAACAGAGCCTGCCTTTAGAGTTGCCACCACCAACTACCAACAACAACTCTAAAGGATCAAGCTCTCCCCACAACTAGTCAAAAGTTCTAGCAATGAAGATTGCTTCTGTCAGGCATCTAAGACAGGGGGTCTCCAACCCCGGGGCCACCGACCAGTACTGGTCTGTGGCCTTGGAAGGACTGGGCCACAGGGATGGATGAGTGGTGAGCAGGTGAGCGAAGCTCCACCTCCTGTCAGCACATTCATATTAGGTTCTAATGCCAGGAGAGACCGGCAGCAGGAGAGATGCCGCTGACATACAACATTGGCTAAAGCTCTTACTTTACATTCATACTGTACACATAGGGAAACTCAGGTTTGATATACACTGATTTAAGCTTGCTGCTACTTAACCCTGAAGGCAGTCTTCTTTTCTAAATGAAACTGCAAAAGACACAGGGCTAAAGATAGGTTGGGGCAATAACCATTATGTCTGAGGGACTTCAGGTTTTCACCACCACTCACCACTATACTTAGATGTAAGCAGATGCCCCAGTTAGTATGAACTTTTTAAAGAAGACTGACTTCAATGCTTGTTCTTTTTCTTTAAAAAATCAGTTTTCCATTTAGAAACTAGTGATAAGTTGATCTTTACATACAAACACTGAATATTTAATGCAATATATAAGTTAGCACGTACTATTGCTGCCTCTTCGTGAGGCATGCAGCTGCCGAAGCAGGGCTGTTTTGCCCGCTTAGCAGGGAAGAGGCAAGGCATCACAAGGGCTGCTGAGGATGAGAGCAGAAGCCTTAAAAGGCTTGCCCTTGCCCTCTTCATCACAGAGAACTTGAGGAGGACGGAGGGCTGCGTAGCAGTTTCATTTTTGGCTGTGTGGGCACTGGAGCTGAAGAGGACCTGTCTGTGGGCTGGCCATCAGCTCAGTCCGCTGCAGTTGTAATTAAAATTACTTATTGAGGGAGAGTCTTCACAGGCTCATCTCTGTTGGTGTTTTATAATAATAATAATAATAATAATAATAAGAATAAGAATAAGAATAAGAATAAGAAGAAGAAGAAGAAGAAGAAGAAGAAGAAGAAGAAGAAGAAGAAGAAGAAGAAGAAGAAGAAGTTATACAAACATTAAGTGGCTTTCAGGTATTGGGGAGAAGGATTGTAAGTGGGCTTTGGGGCTTTGGGAACCCCCCTTCCCCTTCTGCCTTTACTGTCTGGGTTACCCTCTTCCCCCCATTGCCATTTCTCATAGGGGTTTTTGGAGGGGTGTTTAATTTTAAAAAAAGACGGGGGGCTGAAGTTGGGTTCTTTAGTGACAGTACCTTATAAATTAATATTTAACTTAATTAGACTTGAGGCACTGTTAATTGGTGTTAATACAGGATTATTTGGATTTAGATAACTTGCTTGGCTTAGTTGTTAGTGCTATTGATAGTGGGTTAAGATTGTTCACTGGAGAGAAGGGTGTAGCGAACAGCCCTGCCCTTGCCTGTCCTCCAACCTAGCAGTTCGAAAGCATGTACAGTGGTGCCTCGCTTAACGAGCACACCGTAGAACGATGAATCCGCATAGCAAGGGTTTTTTTTCGATCGCAACTGCGATTGCAAAGCGATGGCCCCAATGGGCAAAACTCACATAGCGAAGGTCTGTAAGCGTTTTGCTTACCGACCTTCGCGTTGTGACCCGCGGATCAGCTGTTCGGCTGCTCCAAAATGGCCGCCGGAAGCCCCGAAATGGCCGCATGCAGCATTTTTGCGTCCTCGGTAAGCGAGGGGAGGGTGCAAAAATGGCTGCCGGCCATAGGAAAACATCGCTGAACTGTGAGTTTTCGGCCCATATGCTTCTCAATGAGAGAGAAAAAAATTCACCAAAAATTAACGACGCCTCAGAACAACACCAAATTAAGTTTGCTTACGTTTCACAAGCTGGACTATCGATGCCAAGCATTTAAAACAGGTTTCAAACAGTTTAAGGCACTTTTAAATGAGTGAAAAGAGACATCGTTGTGCGAAAATTCCCCATAGGAAACATCATTGTGTGAGGCGGCAAATTTTTCAGAAAAAGCCATCGTTGTGTGAATTTATCGTTGTGTGAGGCACTCGTTGTGCGAGGCATCACTGTATTTTAGTCATGGGATCTGAAGCGAATGGAGTGGGTAACTTCCTAGAGCTTTTCAAGAGGAAAAGCTTAGTAGGAAGGCTCCTAAGCTCAGCTCGCGGGGGGCTAAAATAGGGACAAGATCTGAGGAAACCATTTCTGGCGTAAGTTTACCTCAAGCAGAAACTGGGACCAGTTGGCTAGCTTGTTCTGAGCTCAAAGGACAGAGTTCTGAGAGGACTAAGCAGAGTCCAAAGGTTAGATAAGCTGAGGTGACTCAAAGCAGCAAAAATTGGAAAGAGTTAAAACTGATATTTCTGTTTATTTGGTGCCTAGAGGCGGGGAGACACTTTGTCTGAGGAAAAAGGCCTGGCTGGGAGCCAGAGGTCTAAACACAGTATCCTAGCAATGGATGATCACTGCTGGGAAGCAACTTTATTAGAGACTCTAACTCACTGGAAAAGAAAAAAGTGTACCTTTTAAATCTGAGGCTTGTAAATTGAAACAGAAGCCTAAATAAATAAACATGCCTTCCACGTGGGGGGAAAAGGCGGCAGAGGTGGCTCCTGAGGGGGCAGATGCCTCAGATCAGGAGGGGGAAGGAATTCAAGGAGGAATTACCTCAGAGGGAGGAGGGGAGACCTCGAGGGGAAAAAGACTCATAGAATTTAAAAATTTCCAAAAATGGAAATTACAAATGGAATTGGAATTGAAAGCAATGTTGATCTATGATGAGCAGGAGGCCTGTCAACTGTCCTTTGAGCAGAAAGAATGGCAATTAGAGTTGGAAAAGTGGAAAGCAGAACAGGGATCTGAGTTTAGATAGATGGAGCTGTACCTTAAGAAGAAATGGAAAATAGGTGATGGGGCTGAGGATAAAGCTTTACAGCTCAAAGCTGAGACAGAAAGGTTTAATGATTCTGAAACAAAGATAAAGCCCCAAATTGTTCAGGAACCAGAAGAAGTCGCAGATTTTATTTCACACATTTGAAACTCAAACTTTTCTGAGGTAAAAGTGGGCAGAAAAACCTGGGAGGACAGTAAAAAGGAGCCCAAGAACCAGCAGGCAAGTGGTGGCCATTTTGTTGGCAAGCCCACAGAACAGAGTCAGTCAAAATACAAGCACTGGGAAGGGAAGGGAGATAAGACCCTTAGCCCAGAACAGAGAAACTTCAGATCTTGTTTTGGATGCGGAGAGACCAACCAGGAACTTTTTAAAAGTTCTGGAGACAGCATTTACATAAATGAGACAAAATTTATGGGTCTGAAAGATTCGTGCTCTGAAGTTACTTTGTGCCATCCAAGCATAATCCCTCCAGAGAACATATTGAAAGGTGAAAGCCTGACAGTTAAAGGGATAGGTGCAGAACTAATTACCATGACAGTGGCCGAGGTACCTATAAGATATCAGGGGTGGAAAGGATTATGGAGCTAATAGGCGTACCTGAGCGATTGCCAGCACCCTGTTTGATCGGGGTCGATCTCAATGAGCATGTCAAGAATGTTTTAGTGCAGACTTGCTCCCAATAGAAAGAAGAAGGCAAAGCAGAGGATAAGGGTGAAATTCAAACAGAGCTGGTGAGGGGAGGAGAGGATCCTACAGCTGCATTAATACCGATTAAGATTCCCCTAGAAAGTACTTTTAAAAGGGAACAGAAAGCAGATCCCACGTTGGATCCATGTTTTAAGGAATTTGGCGAAGGTCAATTAACCCCTGAGAGTCCTGAAAGGTTCTTACTAGAAAAAGACCTTTTGGACAGGGAGGCCTGTGTGGATCCCAATGGGGGAGGGGGGACTCTCCTCAAGCAACTGATTGTTCCTGTCAAAAATCAAGTGGGGATAGAGGAGCAGGGGCACACTGGTACCTTTGCAGCTCATATGGACATGACAAATACTGACCAAAGATTGACTTAACTTTTATTGGCATGAAATGGAAGAGCAGATGAAAGAATTTGGCTAGAGGGTTGAAGGAAGCCAGAGGCAAGGGGGTTGCAGTGACAAAACTGATGCCGAGCTGTGTCATTTACTGGTCATTTTGAACTCAGTACAATGAATTGGTTTAGACATAGGTGAACTGTTGCCCAGAGTTACCCTGAGGGGAAACAAATTCAGTCTGAATATCGTTAACTGGGCAACACATTATCCTGAAGCAGTTCCACAGTGAAATATTGAGTCTCAGACCATTGCAGAGGCTGTGCTGATGTACATGTGTAGCAAAGGGTTTATTTCTGAGTTAGTCCAGTTTTTAGGAACCTCTTTCCTGTCCAAGATGGTGAGAGTAACCTCCCAAGT